AGTTTTGTTTAATTACTTGACATTCATTATAACGCGAAATAATACACGCATGTTAAGGGGTTATTATTATTTTCTTGGGTTCCGAGGGCCTCAACAGCACATCCCCTTTTGTCTTATCCTGTACAGTCTTCTTTAGCTTGCATCACGATTTCCCATAGCCGCTCATCTCCACACATGACCTCCTTCATGTCACCTTTGGACCGACGCCCAACTCATAGTTCACCGCTCGGGTTCCACTTGAGTGAAAGTCTGGAGCGTGATCTCACCTGACAGTTTTCTCAGCATGTGTTTGATCCATCTTCATTTTCTGCAGGATATTTATTGAGCATTAGGTTTTTGATCGGTTCGCCGTCTGCTAGAGTGTCTTGCTGCCAACCCTTTACAGCCATTTGATTAAAGTCTTCAGTAACCTGTCGGAAATGCTTTCCGTAAAATGCCAATTTTCTGGCTTGTACAGAAAAACTGAGTGACGTAACACTGGTTTTAAAAATCCAATCTCGTTCTTCATGCTGAGTGCAGAAGATTTCCAGACTGATTTCAGACGTGTGAAGACATGTCTTGCGATTCCGATTCCGGCTGGTTTTGACACCTTCATCCGTGCTGTCACCTAAAGTTGAAACGATGCCGCCTAGATAACTGAGGGAAGTGATCTCTGTCAAGCTGATCCCATTGACCGGTGCTTGTTCTGGTTGATTGGTTATCTTCATCACCTTTGTCTTCTCTATGTTCACTTGAATTCCTGTCTTTGCTGCCTGCTTCTTCTGACAGTTTGTTGGTTTCCCCCATAAGTCTTCGAGTTTGTGTGACAGATATAAATCATTTGCGAAGTCCATATCTTCTACATTCTTCTTATTCTTTTAGTATATTTCTGTCTTTTCGCTCCCCATTGAGAACCACATTATCCAGTCCACCACAATTAGAAATATCATTTGTGATGGTGGGCAGCCTTGTTTACCACTGTCTTCACTTCAGACACTTTGCTGAGTTTTCCGCTGTAGACCACTTGACTTATGACATCGTTATAAAGCTCCTGTATGAGCTATGTAAAGATTTGTGGCACTCCACAGTGTTGAAGTAGCTTGCAAATTACTTCGCAACTGCTAAAGGATTACGTGAAATATCTTTTCAGATTTGACTTTCCGAAGATTGGATGTAAGCCGGGTGAATATGCTCTTCTTAGGTTTTTTTAAAATTTTCAACTACTCAACGAGATACACATGTGCGAATTACTTTTACTCAGATTAGCACTTGAAACATGACGAAATAATAAGTCACATACTTATGTTTGCCGTAAACGATCAACTATTCAGACATAAGTTCTCAGCATATAATGCATAGTTTTTAGCCGTTCAAATACACTGGGATATATATGTCTCACAATTACAGTAAGACTTTAAATCTAATGCACTTAAATGACCTGGAAACATGAATCATACCTTCAGTCTTGTAACTGAATGAATCATAATAGTATATTTATACGAAAATAATCGTTATAGAAACACTGTTGTTAACAACGTTAATGTTTTAAACTACACTGAATCAGTAGTACCGATAGACCACAGTTCCAAAGCACCTGTGAGTGATAACATGCATAAAAAAAGTAATATTAAACTGAATATGAGATAAATTAAGACACGTAATAATGAATTTACCGACTTACAGGTTCCACAGAGAGCCAGATTATCACTAGTGGGCCTGACGTGTTTCGTTTGCACACAGAGTTCCAGTTGATTTAAGCAAAATGAAATGGCTTTCGCTCTTTAATAATAATAATAATAATAATGGCTTTATTCCAAACAGTATTTGTGGTACAGGTATGGAATTTTCAGCGTTCATTACAATATTGCATCTAATTACCTCATAAATTTTATAAGGATTTAAAAATATAAAGCAACAACAACAAAAAGAAAAAAGAGAAATGAAAGAAATAAAAAAGAACAGCATTGCATTGGAGTGCTTAGCATCTAAAGTTCTTTGGAGATTGATTGGGTATTCGATGGATGAAAGAAAAAGACTCTTCAGTGATAGTTTTGTGGCCTTTCTGAACGAGGTGAACTAATTTAGAACTGTTGGTGTTTTAACAACACCCTTATTTAGCCACAAAATTAGGTATTCTCGAACACGAAAAATTAAGTTCCTAGGGTGACAGTCAATATAACTGGCTTCACCAGTAGATACTATTAGAGAAGGCTAGCCTAGGTACTTCGTCTTTCAGTTTCAGAATCATAACTGGTCATGCGGATAATGAGAGTTCCTGCTTATCTTTATTTTTATTTTTTTATTTTTGATTACATCTTGATGCCACACCATATTTTCAGTACAAGTATGGAATTTTCAGCATGGATATCGGTAGCCCAAATTTTGCAGGCCGACCATAGATATTGGGTGTGCTTCGGCAGGGGATCGAACCCCGGACCATGTGCATGGTCGGCGAGAGTCCTAACCACTGTGCCACCGACGATACTGAAAGGCCTCAGAGTTAGTCTTCCAGCTTGTTTGTTATCATTTCGTTTGGTGCGTAACCTTCGAATTTAAATCATACAAATGAAAGCTTCTTGTTAGCAGGTACAGAAGAATTCTTGCCTACTTTCTTGGCCATGTGTTTAGTGGTGAACTTTTCAGGGTAGGTGTTTTCCATTAAGGTGTTGTATACAACCTTGAGTTCGTCTTCAGTCGTATCTTCTGAACAAATAGCTCTAGCCATATAGCTGAGAGTCCTTACAAAATTTCTTTGTGCCGGAGGCGGACAAAGCTGTGTAAATGTGTATATTGACCGGTCGAAATACTTATGCAGATTTATAAATATGCTACCATCTATTCTTCTTGTCAGTAGGACGTCTAAAATGGAAATTTGGTTTGAATTCTTCTACGCACATGAATTTGAAAGTTGGATATGCTTCATCGAGTTGAGATAATATTGTTTTCATGCTAAAATCATTCTCACAAAGGATTAGGAAACTAGAAAACGATCCTTTAAACAATTTTTATTGCCAGGACATAGATGACACCTCATAGTAAATCTGAATACAGAGTCAATTCCATTAGTATATTAACGAAGAAATTAAACAGAAATGGGGATAATGGGCATTCCTGACAGCTACCACTGGTTGTAATCACTTCAGATAATAACCCCCTATAAGCTTTTACCTTGCTGAATGAGTTTGAGTGGAGTGCCTTGATTAGTGTCGTTTAGTTCCTCGGCAATTCCTCTTTGAATTCTAATTTACATGAATAATAATAATAACAGCTTTATTCCAAACAGTATTTGTGGTACTGGTATGGAATTTTCAGCGTGCATTACAATATTGCATCTAATTACCTCATAAATTTTTATAAGATTTTAAAAATAAAAAGCGCCAACAACAAAAAGAAAAAAAGAACAGCATTGTATTCACATATTTAAACAATGAACCACAGGATATAAAATACAAAATTAGTGTGTAACAGAATATGTGAGCAACAATATAATAGTAACAAAGAAAGGAGAACAAAAGCTAATGGGAACTATTTGTTAGAGTGCCGCAGTAAGTTGATTGTGTCATACCTAACAGTTTTCTCATCACATAACAGCTGTGCCAGATAAGGTATTGTGGAGTTTTTGTACTTGGTAGTCCTGGCATATAGCCTCCTATAGTTGCTTCTAGTTCTACCAGGTGAAATGCAAGGAGAGAGCTGCGTATAGAGAGGGTGTTCGGGATCTGACAATATAGAATTCGCTAGTTTCTTACATGACATTATATGTCTATCCACAATGGTGTTAACCAGTTGGTTTAACGAAATCCCACTTCCCCTACTAACAGCTTTTAGTGCCCTACGCAGCAAAGCAAAGTCTTTCTTAATTAGTCCTGGAAAGAATAACGGGGAGCAGTAAAGAGGGATGGTTAGAATACAAGAACTGGAAAACTGAGAAAGCAAAGACTGCTTTATACCAGACTGCCTTAACTTCCTAACGTAGAACATTAAGCGAAACATCTTTCTAGTAACTAGCAAGATGTGAGAGGACCAGGAAAGAACGGAGGAAATACTCAGTCCAAGGTACTTGACATTAGATGTAGTTTCAACCTCTGTGCCGTCAATGATAGGGGGGAAGTGTGGGCTAGCTAGTTGTTGTAGGTCACTTTTTCGTCTGAAAGTGAAATTTACTACCTGACATTTAAACGGATTCAGCTTAAGACCGTTTGGAGAGGACCACTGACTAATTTCCGAGAGAAATGTTGGAATATGCCTCAGAAAAGTAAGACTCAGTGTTAGTTACATTTTACTTTAGATACTGGTTAGTTATTCGACGAAGTAATGACAGTTAGAATATCGAAATATTAATAAATAGCCTTATTTCAAATGTGCCAACTCAATTCAGATAATCAGTATTATTTCCCTAGTGAATTTTTTAAACAGACTATTATTTTTTCACAGAATTTCTTCTACTGATCAAAAGTATTTCCTCTTTTTTTATTCTTAATGTCAGCAATAAAGGTGGGGCAATATTTCATATATTTCCTTTTACCTTTTTCCTGTCTTTATTTCGCTGTCATACACACCTTGAAGATGTGTTCCTATTACGCTTGAAATCATTTGACTAGAAAAGTATTCAGTATTAAGATATATGCAAAAATAATGTAGAATTAAGTTGTTTTTAAAAAGTATTTTATAACAAAAAAGACTTCGTTTATCACTTATACACTTCAGTAAGTAAACAGATCAAATTTCCGTCTCAGTAATGTGCGTAAATATGCAAATACATAGATATGAAGTATTTTCTTTACTTTTGTTTCAAGGTCATATACTGTAACTCTTTATTCTGATTGGTTTATTGATGTTTGTTTGATTGAATAACATAGACAGGTGATAATTTTAATTGCTCTCAAATAAACCAATTAATTTACGAGTTTCTTTTAGGAAAAACTGAAGAACACCGTGTCTTTTTTTCCCCTCAAAAATTAGAAAATAAAAACAATAAAAGAAAATGAACTAGTCAATGAAATGATAATAACACGGTTGATGTTAGTACTACGAAAAGCAGTGAAATTCACTGTTTAACAACAAAAATAGACTACTATTGAATATGTAATTTCTGGTTCACATGATAACCCTTACTGCTTCTTACTTGGGAAACAAAGACCTATCGAATAGTAGTATATTTGATTTTGTTATAAGACTATCAGTTTGAAGTGTTCTTGTATTCTGAATAGCATTTATACTTATTTGGTAAATTTTAATGAAATTTACTTTATGATGCGTCCAGAGTTCTGCCGAATGAACTCAGTCTACAATTACAGACATTCAAAATCAAATGTGATATATTATCTGCTGACATTCACATTTATAATTTCCTCAAATCTTGAATCCTATTTATGCTTAAATCGTTATAATAAACTTCGAGATGATTGCAATGAGATACCTAAATATTCCAGTGTAACTAGACGTCCAGGTGATGGTGGTATGGAAATTCGTATTCAACTTCTACCACCAGATGTGAAACGTCGACGCGGTAGTGGAAATAATGGTCATATACTTTTACAATCATCTGATTTAAGCTCAGTAAATTATAAGCCACCAGTTAATTATTTAAACAATCGGGATTATTTGATTGTAGTCGCACCGAAACTTGATCCACAAACTCCTAAGCCAGCACTACGTTTAGAGTCTGTTTATCTAACAGCTGTACCATTAGGTACACCAGAAAGTGAAGAATTTAATCAGGGTAAAGGAAGATTTATGCCTACAATATGCTCCAATCCTGCTATAGGCGCTATTCGTTTTGCATATAACTTTCCTAATCATGTTAGTTTTGTGTGGACAAGTCCAGCTGGTTCAGAATCAACAACACTAAAGTATACTCCAAATGTTCAAAACTTCAATTCATGTTTAGAGATAAGAGCCACAATAATACCATGGCATTGGCATCGTTTCTACTTTAAAAATGCTGGTTCACTTCGACATGTTTTATGCCCAGCAATGGATCTACGTCAAATTGATGAATGGTCGGAATATTTACATTCAAATACAAAATCGTTCAGGAAAATTAAAAGTGATAATGTTAAAGCACGTTCTATCACAAATATTGGAAGAGTGGATGGTGAGGACGGTAAGAATCATAGATATAGTGATAGTGGGTATTATGGCACTGAAGAGACTGATTCTTGTTCTGTACAAGAATTGCCTAAACCAGTTCGTCCATGTTGTGCATGTAATACAGCTATTTATCGTTTAATTATACAATCAGACTGGCAACAACAACAGCATTGGAGAGACTGGCCAACTACGATGGCAGGTGCTGGAAGTACAGCAAGTGAAAATCCACACTGGAGTGAGATACTCGGTTAGTTACATTTATTATAAACTTATTATTCACTGTTATTATTTTTTTTTATATATGAAATCCCTCTAATGTTTAGTATATTTTTGTTGATTTAGAATAAAGTGTTTCATACTTGTATAGGCTCACAGTCATCTACAGTGTCAGCATAATAAAATACTAAATACGTAAATAACTGGTTCAACAAGGAATACACTTTTGAAATGACAAAGAAGTTATCTAAGAGGAATGTAACAGTTCAAGTTTAATGCCATCAGGTCAGCTTTCTTTCTTTGACTCAGCATAGCGACCTCCCTGAGAATTTCTCGCATTGTCTTTTAATACTTCTCTGCATATTCCCCAAGTAGAAGGGAGCACTTCGCAGGACTTAACATGGATCGGATACATAGTGAGAAGACCACTAGGTGACATCACGCTCCAGACCATCACTCCAGTGGAAACCCAATGGGAAAAGATGAGTTGGATGTCTGAGGGTGACGTCAAAGAGATCGTGTTATGAGGCGATGAGATCCCATAGACTATCATAGGGCCAGCTAAAAATGGCTTCAGAGAACGGAATGAACTGAAGATGTGTTAGTGAAGCCCTTTGTTGCACTCGGAACTCAAGGGAGTGATAATATAATACAACATATTATTCATTCCTTCTTATTAAATACTTACAACACAGTGTGGGTTTCAATGTAACTAAGACACAGGGGACCGTACTCAGAACTCTATCCATTTTTGAGATTCAAAATATGACATTAGTACGACAGTAGAATGCTCTCTAATTGCTCACATTATCCGGATTCGATACCCTACCGACTCACTCCTAAGCCTGAACTAACCAGGTGTAAGCCTAAAATAAAGAGAAAGTTGGGTGTGAAGCCACCAACTCTATCCCATTAAAAAATAACACCAGCATAATGAAATTTTAAAAAAATACTTGAAGCCCTACTTTCCACTCGGAACTCAAGGAATGAAAAACACACCAAGCAAAGGCAGAACACATCCAGAATAATATTAGCGTATGAAATGAAAGCTATAATCTAAAGCACGTTTACAAATATACATAAAGTGGAAAAGAATAAAAATCGTATAAGTTGAATTCTATTTGGTTAGCTTTTAGAATAAGTGAAAGGCCAACTCGCACGACGGTCTGATTGTTACTTATGTTCAACAGTATGTGGATGATAGTCATACTGGTTGCTCATCATAATGCATGCCATTAGAAATGGAATCTGACAGGAAGTCAATCCTCACCAGTGTTCCCATTTTACTGTGATTTTGTTTTTCTAACTATCTGAAGAGGTGATTCATATTTTGCAATAATATGTGTAAAGAAATTAACTCTGCAAGTCCCAGAATATGAATTTTATTGATAGTTAAAAAGCAGTTAATTTTATTATTAACAGAAGGTTCAATATAGAAAGCATAGACATTTTTATATAATCAGTGAGTATTTCAGAGTTTTCTTATTTAACCTCCTCTAATATTACTTAATTTCACCTTTACACTTAGGAAAATACGCCTGAAAATGTAAGAGCTTCATGTCTAACGCTTTTTCCCTTATGAAGTATTCTCAGAACCTTCTTAGTTGTACATGTCTATTTAATGGCGTTGTAGAATCTACAGGGTGAATTTTTCCAAATGATATAGGGGTTGTTATCCACTAACTCAAATAAATCTAGGCTAACATACAATTTGCTGATTTCAAGATAATTACTCCTCCTTTTCGACTGACAGAAGCTGAGTAATGATGATAATAATAATAATCCTTAACAGGTAGAGAAATATTAGAGATGTTAATAACGTAAAAGTAGAATCCAGAGTCCGTAGCAGAATGTAATTTTTAGTTTTTTTTGTGATTATAGCTTGATTCCACACCGTATTTTTGGTACAAGTATGGAATGTTGAGCATGTGGTATCGGTAGCTCGAATTGTGCAGGCCGATCATTGATATGAGGTGTACGTCGGTAGGGGATTGAACTCCGGGCCATGTGCTTGGTCGGCGAAAGTCCTAACTGCTGTACCACCGATGCATTTTTGATATCATGTTCTATGAAATGATCATATCAATCATTGGTATGATTCTGAACAACAAATTGTGCTCATAAGCTCATCATGTTAACAGTACTGTATCATACTGTGCTTTATATCAGATGAATGTGTCTGACATAGAATTGTTATGCCTGGCAAAATTATATGTACACGTATAAAATTTATGCCATCTTCATTATGATATACATATGATACGTTCATATACACATGTACTAAGTGTTCACGTCTTCCTTGAATCACATAGCTAAATGGACGGAAAATCTCAAAATCTTCTTTTCAGCGAACTATTTTTTTTTAAGAGTTGCACAATGGTATTTATATTTAACAAAGAATTCATAAAACCAATCAGGTACTGGTAACTATAGTCTAGAAAATGTATTCGGTAACATGAGGTGTAATTTAGGAGGGAATGAGTTAGTGGAGGTTAGAAAAAGTTTGGACATAGAATTATGTGTCAAGTTTGAGGAATAACTAATCAGTCTAGATGTACAAGGTAGACTCAAGTAAAGGGAAATACAGTAAAGTGTTTATGGACAATCTGTATGAAAAATGCTATTATTAATAAACAAAGTGAGTCGGTGGCACAGTGGTTAGGATGCGCGCCGACCATGAACATGGTCCGGAGTTCGATCCCCAGCCGACGCACTCCTTTACCTCGCTAAGTCAGTAATAAAAGCTGGTAAGGAGGAAAGGTTGGGCATGCGGATAGCAACCTCATCCTGTAAAAATGAACACTGCTACAGAAACTTCAAGCTTCTAGCTTGAAGCCCTATGTTTCACTGGGAACGTGAAGGAATAAAAAAAATCAATAATAGGGATAGTCTTTTTTTATTCCTTTACATTCCAAGTGGAACATACAGCTTCAAGCCAGAGACTTGAAATTTCGGTAGTTGTGGCTTTTATTTCTATGGGATGGGGTTGCTAGCCTCATGCCCAACATTCCTTCTTTACCAGCCCTATTACTGGCTTAGAAAGGTATGGGAGTGCGTCGGTGGCCGTGGATCGAACCCCGGACCACATACGTATTTGGCGAGCATTCAACCGCTGTGCCACCGACTCACAATAGGAATAGGAATAATTATGAAATAATAAAATGAAAAAACGTTATAACGAAAAGTTTACTCTGGCTATCGTAGGGAAAGTGAGTGTATGCAGTGCTTTTGAACTGAGAAGTCTGGTTTCAGGTCTCGTACAGCTATTGATTAAGCTACGTATATATTGCGTAGTCGAATTCCCTACACACGACATTCAGGAAATCTGTGAGGCAATGTGAAGCAATTTTGCAGGGGTGGTCGATAGCCAGCGTTGGTAAATTGTTCAAAGATAGAACTAGTGGCATTCTGTCTTTTCTCCTCTTGCTAGCCAGGCTGGAAATTGTTCCAAAATACATCTGCGAATTCGCCTTGTGTACCAGCACCTGATTAGTTTTAGGAATTCTTTGTTAAATACAAATACGTTTGTATAGCTCTTGAAAATAATTCATTGAAAAGAAGATTTCCTTCATTGTTGGGTCTTCTTTTGTTCATGACCTAATTTAGCTAAATGGTTCAATGAATAGTGAAGAAAATGTTCAAGTTTGAATATAAATATCATAAACTAGGTACTTCAAAATTGGCTTGTAAAAAACAACACAGATTAATTCAATTTATTATGTTGGCTAATTGTGTTTCTTGCCAAAAATCTAGGAATTAAGCTGTCAAATAGAAATTCTGTGCTACTATAGTGATAAACAAATGAAATTCAATTGTCCCAGGAGAATTATTTAATCTGCGGTCATTAATCTTAGATGTGTATACACACAGATATCCTGAAGGTATGCGAAATTATAGTAGAGAACAAACTCATTTATAATTGTAGGTGAAATTCTCCAAAATGGGAGGATACAATAGGAAAAAAGGTTGTTCAATGGACGAAATTCCATGAGAATTGGGATTAAAATCTAATGTTCCTAATTTATCACTTTCCTTGATATGATGTTTTATGAGAATTTCTTTGGGGGCTGTTTTATATTGTCTGCTTTGCAGTCTTTTGATTGAGTATAAATCAGTTTACGGGACTCAGCGTGAAATGATAAATTTTAAGTTACCTGACTCATATGGAGATTAAAGTTCTTAATATTCTTGCTATATACTTGTACACAAAACCTTGTGGAATACAGATTGATACTTTCAGATGTTAACAAACTAAATAACCTGAAGACTAGTTATCTTAACAATACCGGACGGTTTAATTGGATCAGATGTGTTAGTATTAATACTCTTGTCACAAGAATTCTGACGACATACATAGTTGATGACTACAGCGAACTTAAATTTGAAAATTATTTATGTTCAGAATAAAATAATGCATAATAATCAATGCAAAGTTGGGGTCAAACCGCAATGGAGAACGAAAATGAATGCAGAGAAAATTATTTCGATCTGTGCATAGATATACGTCGATGACGGAAGTAGCTAAAGTAGCCTTAATTTGCCAGACTTCTACTGACGTAATAGATTGCGACTCAAGGTGAAATAAAAACCTCTGTCAGGGAAGGATTCGAACTGTATCGTTAACTCATGTGATTTCAGTAGACTGATGAACTAGGCGGTAGTTTGTCCCCACCACCTAGCTGGAAGAGTGTTAGACTAATAATTCACTGTCTAGTGCTTCGATGCCTACTGCAACCAAGCAAAATGCACGAAGATGCAACTCGTCTAGTGCGTAGACTTAACTCTGTACAAAATCACATAAGTGTAACATGTGACATGCACATTTCTTGTTTAGCTTGCACAATTATGTAAGGCGACTATCCAGTACAAGTACACGAAGTCAGTATTGTTCATAGAATTTAGCCCAAGATTACTGATAATAATCAAGGTGATAGTAAGAAATAACCTTTACTTATAATTTATTTGAAAGGACCGTCACTGTTTCTTCTGAGCCTTCATTGAACTGCATCAGTTGTGGACGTTATCGTGATA